TTTCCTTCTGATTGCAGTTAAATATAGACCCACTTCTCTTTACTTGAAGAAAGCTTCTGGTTCATTGATACTCTCTCTAACATAGCTCTTTCCAGAAATCTTAGTGGATGATGATTCTAGTACTTCAGCCTCTCAGTTTTACTTTCTCTTTTCTGGTTGGTTATCTTGTTTTCTACCAAGTTTTACCCCCCTACCCCACACCCCCGCCCAGAGAGGGAGGGAGAGATAGAAACATCAATGAAGAGAGAGGATCATTGATTAGCTGCCCCCTGCATGCTCCACACTGGGGATGGAGCCCGCAACCCAGGCATATGCCCTGACCGGGAGTCGAATTGCGACTTTCTGGTTCATAGGTCGATGCTCAACCACTGAGCTACGCCGGTTGGGCTCTACCAAGTCTTAAGCACTTATTTCCCTGGTCATATACTAGACCTTACTATTACTGATAGGCAAGTACCTTCAATAACTTCAGTTTTAAGTATCCCACACTCTGGCCACTACTTCATATTTTTCTAGTCTATCTCCTTGTAGTTTTCTTGTCCTAACAGTTCTTCAGCTCCATTGGCTTCCATTGAGCCTGCCACCTTTTCACTTTACTGTCCCTCTTCCCCTCACTTTCTCCTTACCCAGCTTAGATTCCATGGCATTTCTGTAGTCCAGTTACTCTCTCACTGTCTAGGATCTTTCATACCTTCTCTATCTTCAAACCTCCTTCTCTCCCCCTGCACCTTTACTCTCAGTCTCTTTTGTTCCTGAGAAGATAGAAGCAACGGGAAGTCTCGCATCATTACCTGCTCATCATATTCCGCCTTTGTAAGTTCCTGTCTGATGCTGCCTCTCCATTTGTCCACTAGATTCTTACCCCTTCTCATCCACTGGATGTTTCTCCTTCTGCTGAATTATTCTTTCTAACATACAAACATGCTGTCATTTCATTTCTTCCAACTAAAAAAAGTTGTTTTCTTTCTCCTTACTCTCCTCGCACAGTGTTCCCATTTCTCTGTCCCCTTGTCCTCTTCTCCCATTTTATCTTCTGATCTGCTCCTCTTTACTTCTCTTTCCTCATCGTACTTGACCTATCAGCAGCATTTGACACAGTGGATCACTCTCTCCTTGTTACACTTTCTTTCTTTTTAAAACAGGCTTCGAGGATACCATAATCTTCTAATTTTCTTCTTACTGTAATGTCGGTTTCTTAGTCCTATAATTCTTCATTATTCCCTTTCTCTAAATTTGAGATGCGACCAGCGGTTGTTCCCAGCACCTCTTCTCTATATTCACTCATTAAGTGTAAACTTACTAGACTTTCAAGACTTTAAATACCATCTATATCAGGGGTCCTCAAACTTTTTAAACAGGGGGCCAGTTCACTGTCCCTCAGACTGTTGGAGGGCCGGACTATAGTTTAAAAAAAAAACTATGAACAAATTCCTATGCACACTGCACATATCTTATTTTGAAGTAAAAAAACAAAACGGGAACAAATACAATATTTGTATTTGCATGTGGCCTGCAGGCCGTAGTTTGAGGACCCCTGATATGATGAAGTTCTTTAAATCTGAGTTTTCATCCTAGCCCTCTACTCTGAATTATCCCAGCTTTCTATTTAACACTGGATCCTAATGAACATCTGAAAATGAACACATCTAAAACGTAACTCTGCTATCCCTCATTTAAACCTGCCTCAATAATTGGCAACTCCATCCTTCTAATTACTTAAGTCAGAACTCTGACTTCACTTCTCTCTCTCAGTTCTTCCAACAAATCCTGTCAGCCCTACCTTCTAAGTATATTTATTCTGACCACTAAACATCTCCACTGCTACCATCATCTCTCAATTAGGCTACTGTAATAATGTCCTAATGGACCTCTACAGCTGCTCTCCCTGCCCATAGTTTATTCCCAGTACAACAGGCAGAGTGATCATTTTAAAACTTAAGGCAGATCAACTCAATCCCCTGCTCAAAACTCTTACTCATAGGAAAAACAAAAACAAAAACAAAAACTGAAAAGTTAAGCATAGCTTGGAAATCCATACTTATTTATTTTCTGCACCGCATACACATGCACACACCCCCCTCATCTCTTGTTGCTTTTAGCCTCCTACTCTGTTATGTTCTTTCTCATTGGTCTCTTTTCTGTTCTTCACGCATTCCAGGCATGTTCTTGTCTCAGGACCTTTGCATTTGCTGTTTCCTCTGCCTGGGATAGTCTTTTTTTCAGGTAGCTTTATTATTCCTACTTTAGGGCTCTGCTCAAGCATCGTATTTTTTACTTTATTGTTGGTTTCCTTACACACACTAAAGTTCTCAAAGACAGGTTTGTCCTTGTGTTTACTGCTCTATGTCCTTAGCATGTAATACTGCCTGACATGCATAGTTGGGGCTGAATAAAATTTATTGAATTAGTGATTAACTATTTCTAAAATGCATTAGATCACAACTCATCAGATCATGTTCTGCCATCAAAGCCATGGAACTGCCAATGGAACTGGATCCAAAAGTCCAAATATTGGTGTGATATCAGCAGTAGTTGGTCTTCACTCCTATGTGACAAATAACTGGCTAGATGACAGTGATTAAGTTATGATTTTTTTTCCAACACTGGTTAATGATAGGCACTGTTTTAACCGTGACAGTGATCCTGAAAAGTAGGTGGTAGTTTTACTCTTTTAAATGCATAGGAACAGGCTAAAACAACTGCTTCCTTTAAAGGTAATTCCAGCCTGACAGTCCATTGAATCTGTCCTGATTAAATGGAGGCAGAAACAGGTGGCAATAGGGGAAGACTGTGAGCCTGCCAGAGGTTGATGTTATAAACCTTTCTAAATGGATGGAGATAGTAAAGGCCTTCAAGATTCCTTAAGGTGTAGCTAAGGAATCTCTAGAGTTCATGGAGCAAAAGACATCCCTTACCTAGCATCAGGGTAGAACATGGAGCTAGATTGATTACAGGGTCTAAGGATTGAGCAGCCTGGAATTGGGAAGCACCTATGAAAACAAAGGTTCTTCATTTACTTATAAAAATGTGATTGCCCAGCAAGTGCCAAGCTAAGAATAGAATACAATCAAGACAAACATTTTTTCCTTAAGAATCTCTGAGTCCAGTGAAGAATACAAATACAAAAAAAAAACAACAAAAAGAATACAAATACATAAACATTATTTCTATAGGTAATTTCATTGATAGCATGGGAGCCTGTCATTGAACTTGACATATGATAGGCACTCAGTATTTGACTATTCATTGATGGTGCTGTGGAAGACAAGGGGGAGACATCTGACCTAATTTGGGAAAGCTTTCTCAGAGAAGTTTAATACCTGATATTAACAAACTAGAGGCCCAGTGCATGACATTTGTGCACAGGGGCGCGGGGAGGAGGAGGAAAAGTTCCTCAGTCCGGCCTGCACCCTCTTGGGGGAGCTGCTGGCAGACAGACATCCCCCGAGGGGTTCTTAGCGCTGCCTGGGAGGTGGGAGAGGCTCCCACCAGTGCCACTGTGCTTGCCAGCCGCGAGCCCAGCTTCTAGCTGAGTGGTGCTCCCCCCTGTGGGAGCACACTGATCACCAGGGGGCAGCTCCTGCATTGAGCGTCTGCTCCCTGGTGGTCAGTGCGTGTCATAGCTACTGGTCGTTCTGCTGTTCAGTCGATTTGCATATTAGCCTTTTACTATATAGGATGGGAACCAGTCAATTGAGATTGGAGAGAAGTGGCTACTAGGAAGACGCTTCTAGCACAACAAGTAATAAAGTCCAGAGGTGAGAGATGTTCCATATGGCTTAACAGTTTATGACAAGATAAAGGAGGTACACAGTAATTAAATGAGGAACACAAAGCAACACCTATGAATCAACATTTGTATCTTAAAGGCAGTTTTCTGAGAGAAATATTTGTGTAGGCTTCTCACCTCTATTCTTCGAAAATACTTGGTGGTCTGCCTTTACTGGGTGAATCTCTTCCTTTGTTTTTTTATGGTTTTTGATTTATTTTTGCTTAGGTTTGATGACAAATACACTCTGAAGCTGACCTTCATCAGTGGAAGAACAAAGCAGCAGCGGGAAGCTGAGTTCACCAGGTCCATTGCTAAGTTTTTTGACCACAGCGGGACACTGGTCATGGATGCATATGAGCCTGAAATATCAAGACTCCATGACAGTCTTGCCACAGAAAGAAAAATAAAATAGCCAATTCTAAAAGCAGCCATCTTTTTGCAAGATCATGCAAAATTATGGGGTGAGAAGGAAAGAAGCAATGTAAAAAATGTTAAATGTTACTGTTTTGTCCTGAAATTTAGTCCATTCTGGATAAATAGGATTTTCTATCTGAGATATGAGAAATTATAGCTCTGATATCTAGCTGTAGCTTCCTTGGTCTGCTGATTACACTGTTTTCATTTGCTTTTCTGGAGAAGCATTTTTGCTAAAAACTGAACAGACTTTCTCCTTCATATCTAGCAGAATAGTATAGCTTTGTGCCATGCAGAGTATTAAGACTCAGTTTTTAAAATTGTCCATCTGTTGCTGACTTTATTATGTTAATTCCTATTTCAATAGCTGTTTTAATTGTATCCCTAACTCAGGATACAATTACTTGTATACATCTTCACACACCATTTTTTGTGGTGTGTATATATCTGACAAGGCGAATTGGGGAAAAACCCAGCTTTTTAATTTGTTTAAAATAGACCCTCTGCCTGTTACATTTTGTGTGCTCTTAACCGATTAAAGAAGCCAATGACATTTTTAGTTTTATATTGTCTATGCTTTCCACTAGTATATCCCTGTTGATTTGCTGATTTGTTTGTGTCCTTTATTAACTGCCATTTTCTAAAATTTTTTTCAATAAAAAGAAGATTTGAAAAACTGGAGTTTTTTGATGGTTAGTTTTGATGGAAGGAACAGAGCAGCAAGTGTTAACAGCCTTACTCTACCATAGGTTTCTTTCATTCTAGGCTGTTTTATTGGTCAGAGACCCCTAAGAACCTGTAGTGAGGAACTGGTAACTTTCCAGTGATAATGACATTCAGTACTTACTTTGTGTCAGGTAGTGTACAGGTATTAACTCAGTAATGCTCACAATGATCCTAAGAAATAGGTATTATTATTATTATTATTATTATCCCCATTTTATAGCCTGAGGGAAATGAGACACAAAAAGTTAGTGATAGAACTGGGATTTAAACCTGGGCAATCTGGCTCCACAATTGTGAACATCTTCTTTTCCAGTATTTTCCTGTGGTAGAGAAGAACTCAGCACTTGCCTAGATCCTGTGAACTATAAGGATATTGTCCCTCTATCCTTACAAAAGTAAAGTCTCGCTGAACCTACTTCCTAAAACCATATTCACTTTATAAAACATCATGCTTATCACGTTTTGCTCTTTGACTTGGGAGTGTTGCCCCCTATCTAGTGTCACACTGAGGGGTGTGGAACATCAACAGGTGGGAGTTTTATTCCTGTCAAGCTGGGTAAGTCATGTAATTCTCTGAGCTTCTAGGGCCCTCTACTCCCACAACCCTTTTTAGATGATAGTTCTATTCTGTAAGCTTTTGAAAGAGTGTAATTGGATAATTGTATTTTCACAATGAATGAGTTAGAGTTACTGTTAGACACGGGGGTGTCCCAAGACTTGTGTTTGTAGATAGGTAATAACCCTCTCCAAGATGATTTCTTGGAGTCTTGCATACTTGGGTATACCTTTTTCTTTACATATATAAACATGTTATCTTCACTTTTTTTTTAACTTTTACTTTTTATTGAAGGAAATGAGAAAATTACAGAGACAGTGGATGATGCTTGGAAGAATGGCAACTATTGGTTTGTCTCATAGCCAACCCCATCCTATATTCTATCATGTCAACCTTAGATCCATTTAGAGACGAGTAACTGTCTCAGAATTTTTTTGCAATGGGCCTTGGCTGCTGTAAGGGAGCTTGACCCTTTGGGGGAGAATTCCCTTTGACAGACTCTTGTAGGAACCATTGATGAGTATTGAATAATACTCTGCCTGGATTTGGTTTATGATGCTATTGAAGGTGAACCACTGAAGAATGAGAAACTGCTGGGAGGGGCAATCTGTCACGAGCCCCGAGTATTCCACTTGGAAGACTACAGAGTGTCAAAACAAAGACACTCTTCTTCGGGGCCACAAACTACAGATGAATTATTGCTGTTAATTCATCTGTCTGGGTCACTCACGTAGATGCCCTCAGTGGGGGGGCCGTTATTTGATGAGACCAACTGGGATCAAGCTGTTGCTGATGGAGCCCGTACTACTCAGATTGCCACCATTGTTGCCTGGATCCATCATACCAGACGTATTACACCCACCATAGTAGCCTAAGCACAAAGTAAAACACTTATGTTTCTGATGGAGAGGCTACTGCTGCATGCCAGACTGTGACTCCTTTCAAAAGTCCTGTTTGTCTAGCCTTGAGTGAGACCACATAGCACAAGGCATGGCCGTCACCCACTCTTGGCTATTTTACTGTATCAGACCTTTGGCTCCCTCTGGGGGTTATCAGTAGTACCTCACCACTGTTGACATGTTTTTCAGGTTAGTGTTGCTTTTCTAGTTCAGTCAACTCCAACCACACTATTTTGGTCTTCAAACTAATCTGTCTCATGTTTTTGGTTATCTTGACCACATGCAGTCAAACAGTGGTGCAACTGTTACTGCAAAAGCCACTTAATGGTGGGCTGACAGTCCAGGTATTTGATGGACCTTTAACTCTTCCATCCAGAGGAATTTACTTTGTTGACTGTTGGAACAGCCTATTTAAAAAATGTACTCAGAAGATTTCTGACCCTACCTCTCTAACCCCATCCTGGTCAATATTTAGTAAGGCAGTTTGGTCACTAAATATGGCTGTCCACTGAAAGCAATCACTTCCTCTTGAAGGCTATATTAGAGTTCTCTGAAGAAACAGAACAAATAGGATATGTGTGTGCATATATAAAGAGCTGTATTATAAGGAATGGGCTCATGATTATGGAGTTGGAGAAGTCCCATAATCTGCTTCTGTAAGCTGGAGAACCAGGAGACCCAATGATATCATTCCAGTCTGAGTCAGAAGGCCTGCAAACCAGGAGTAAGTTCTAGTCCAGAAGCAGAAGACTGATGTCCTAGCTTGCAAACAGGCAGAGTGAATTCTACCTTACCCTGACTTTTGTTCTATTCTGGCCTCCAACAGATTGGATGAAAGCCCACCAACATCTCAGAGGGCAGTCTGCTTTACTGAGAGCTCTGATTCAAATGGTAATCTCATCCGGAAACACTCTCAGACATATCCAGAATAATGCTTAACCAAATATTTGGGGTCTCGTGTTCCAGTCAAGTTAAGACATAAAATTAATTATAGTTGCTTACTGAGTAATGATCAGAATGAGGGGTTGGGGAGTGTTGTATAGATTTATTTTGAAAATTCAGTATTCTGATGTCCTGACTGGTGCTGGGTATGTTTTCTTTGCCCTAACAGCATCCCCTGGCCAACCTGGTTGCCACACCCTTCAGGTGGCACCTTAGCCAAAGGGAGGCCTTAAGTATTCACATTTAATTCTGGTTTAGCCACCTGGATTCTTTTGTTGGTTTGACATGGTCGTAGATATAACATTTGAAAAAAGAGTCATTCTTGGAGCCTTCCTCTCAGAGGAGAATGGCATAGTAAAACTCCCCCAAACTGTTGTAAGCTCCCTAAACTTGACTGATTGCTGGTTTTGCCATCCCTACTAGGTGACTCTGATCGCAATTTGATAGCCATTTCCCTTATTGTATTGAGAAGTCTATTGGAAAACTCAGTACTTTCAGCTCCTATACTTCCATGCAAAACATGTCACAACTTCCAGAACCTCTCGCCTCCCTTGTAGCTATTAGTCATCCTATGGGGAGGACAAATGCCACCTGGCTGGTTGTGTAGGCATGTTGGACAGATTGGACTAATTGCCATTAGACAGTCTTTTCAAAATAAGGACTGGTTTCAAGTATTCTAAGTCAACTGAGAGCTCTGAGGCCTACCATGTGGCCATGAGGCCACATTAGGGACCGTCAACCTGTATTCCCTGAGAGATGTAGGTGCCATTTGGGAGGCCCCAACAATTGTAAACAGGGCATCATATATGCCCCCAGGATATCCCTGTGTGGAAGCCAGGCACAAACTTGCCCTTCTCCCTGAAAACATGGTGCCTTGCACCATAGGGAGGGTCTTAAGCAACTTTCAGGTGTTTAGGGAAGCATCACCAATAGACCAAGTAGTCATCGGATAACTGTGGAGATTGCTCCAAAACAAGGGTATCCTTGGGTACAGGGGGAGCTTCCTGGAGGGGTGCTGACTCATTTATGCACACTCTGCAGGAGGTTATCCCTATCTTAAGGCTCATTCTACTAGAAACGTTGGTATGGAATTTGTTCCTGACTTTAGCTGAAGCCACCAGTGATACCACTTTAGCCCTGGAATACATTCAGGTGACCCTCAACTCACTGGCCAGTATGGTTATGGATGATAGAATTGTTCTCAACTTCCTTGTGGGCCGAGAGAATCTGTAACAGCCGATGTATCCTGTGTACCAGAATTAATACCTAGGCCAGGCACAAGGCCAATAAAGAGAGTAGAGAATACCATCTGGCTTTCTAAGGTAGACCATGGTGACTTACTGATGGCTTATGGTTGTTGGTTTTGGGGGATGTTTTGTTTCTGTGCGTTTTTTGTTGTTTGTATTTCCAGCTGGTTTGGTCAAGATCCTTGGGTATGATAGAGGTCAAGTCTGCAGATTGATTTCATCCTGTTTCTTGGAGTTCAGTTGACAGTATCCTTAATTAAATGCTGTATGAGACCATTAGAATGGATTTGGTCCCCATTTTTGACAGATTAATCAGAGTGAGTGATGGTGGGGCATACTCGAAATTCCTTAGAGGCCATCCATACGAAGTGCTGCGGAGGCTTGAATAGGAGTAACTATTTTAGCATGGAGGACTGAGGGGTCCTTATACAGGAAGAGTGAAACCTTTCTGATTTGCATCATAAAGTAGATCGTGAATAGGTCATATGTGTCCATTTTACAGATGAGGAACCTGAGGCATAGAAATTAAATAACTTGCTAATGTCACTCAGCTAGGAAATGGGAAGTCAGAATTGGAGCCAAGATCTCTTCTCTTCCAAATCTAGAGATTTCTACTAAACCTCATTGCCTCAAGCATAAGACTGAGACTATCAGCCAAAGAAGAATTGAGAGAAATATGGCATTAGTTTTAGGTATTTTTCTAAAATTGGCTTGGTGGTCTATGAAAGGGCGAGGACTACGCCCTCCACCTTGTCCCAGGGTAAGGGCTACGCCCTCCATCTTGCCCCAGGGTAAGGGCTATGCCCTCCATCTTACCTTGGCCATGTGCTCAGCAAGGCTTCTTCCCGGAAGCCAAGCCTCTGCTAGCCACACCCAGGACTTCTTTAAACTAACCAATGACAATCAAGGGAAGTCGCCATAGATATGACCACATCCTGCGTAACAAGACACGGACTTGCGCCTGGCCAATCGGCAGGGCCCACAGTCCTTTCTCCTCCCCTTACCCCAACCCCCTATAAAACCTCTCTCCACATAGAGTTTTCTCTCTCGGCCACTGGGCTCACCGTTGCATCGGTGAGTGTGGTCGGGGAGCCGAACTAGTTCGAAATGAAGGACTCTTTGCTTTTGCATCGGACTGGCTGGCTCCCTGGTGGGACCTTGGGAATCTTGAAATCTGGGCACAACAGTCTACAGAATTGGTTGTGAGTTTGGGGAAGTCTGGTGTAGAACCCTAGCATTTTGTATAGGCTCATCTTTAAAAATGAGATATTTCAGACATAATACGGTGTTTTTTAAATATATCTTTTTATTGACTTCAGAGAGGAAGGGAGAGGGAGAGAGAGAAACATCAATGATGAGAGAGAATCATCAATGGGCTGCCTCCTGCACACACCCCATTGGGTGGGGATTGAGCCTGCAACCCAGGCATGTTCCCTGACGGGAATGGAACCCTTACCTCCTGGTTCATGGGTTGACACCGAACCACCAAGACACACTGGCTGGGCTTCAATTACTCATATAATGGGCTCAGTTTTACTTTATTCAGTGAATTATAATCTAATACTATTCATATATATATATATAATTTACAGACACATATAACATAATTTTATTTTTTGAGTAGGGGTGGCCCAATACTCTGGCGCTCTGGTCCTTTTTGTGGAGTCCCCTCTGAGCTCTGAGGTCCGGAACCTTTGCTTGCCTCTCAGGCTGCCCAGGGAAGTTTTAGGCGGTGATACCTACCAACCAACAGAGCGGGGATGGAAAACTGAAGAGGGGTGGGGGCAGGAAATGGAAGGGTGGGGCGGAGCCCGGGAGCTGCGCAGCCTTTGGGAGACGTGGCAGAACTGAACTTGGCCCTGCGGGTAGGTGGTCGAAGAGGAAGGGTCAGGTTCTTCCCGCCCGGGCTGGGACGGCCGGAGACTGAAGGGAGGAGGGACGTCGGAGGCCGGGCAGCGAGGGGGCGGGGCCTCGGCTGCCCGGTCCGAGGGGGCGGGGCTGAGTCCGGACCTCTGCTAACCAGCGGTCCCAACGGCTGTGGCCTCTGCGGCCCCGCGCCCCCCTCTCCGCCCCCCCGCCCCCCTGCGCCCGCGGTGTCCGTTTCCTGGGCCCGGCCGCCTCCCGGCCGCTCGATGTCTCCGTCCCCCTCTCTGTTCACTTTTGGGGGTTTGTTTTCGTGTCCGCAGCCGCGCTTTCTCCTGCCTCCGTCTCCCCAGCCTCGGTCATCTCCCAGGCTCTGGTGCCCGAGACCCGAGGGCCTGCCTCCGCGCCCCCGCAGCCTGGAGAGAGCGGGAGCCGAGGGCCGACGCAGGTGAGCGGGCCTGGGAGGCGGAGGGAGGGAGTACGGGGGGGGGCCCGGGGAGTGGGGCCGAGTTCGCAGCACCATCTGGGCTTAGGAATCCAGTCCTGGGAGGAGACTGAGTCAGCCACCCAGTCGCTGGCATCTCACACTGGCCCGGGCTGTTACGGACTGGTCCTAGTTTTCCTTCCGCGGAAGCCACGCGGAAACCCGAGAATGCGCGCTTTCGGGAGGAGGCGGGGAAGCCCTGCTCAGGAGAGGGATCTGCGGCCCCAGAGGGTCCCGAGCGGGACTTGCCAGGGAAGGAAGACCCGGGCCCTGGCCCAGGTTTTGCTTCTGGTCACTGAGCGGCCTCACTTTCGGGTATTCCTCTCCGCGGCCTCGGCTTTCCCATCGGTGCCATGAGCAGAGTTTGGACTACACGCAGTGGTTCTCAACCTCCTGGCCCTTTAAATACAGTTCCTCATGTTGTGACCCAACCATAAAATTATTTTCGTTGCCACTTCATAACTGTAATGTTGCTGCTGTTATGAATCGTAATGTAAATATCTGATATGCAGGATGGTCTTAGGCGACCCCAGTGAAAGGGTGTTTGACCGCCAAAGGGGTCGCGACCCACAGGTTGAGAACCGCTGGTACAGGATCTGCAGAAGCCTGACAGGATGGGTGCTCCTTACCTACTCGTTTTTTAAGAGGGAATGAATGAGATAGGGAGGTCTCCTAGGCGTCACTGGAGGCTGACGGCTGATTGGATTAGTTGGGCATCTGCGGAATTACATAGTTTCTACAGCCTGAGAAATAGGTGGTCTTACCTCCATTGCAAGTGAGGAAATAGGCCCAAAAGGAAAGCAATTTGCTACTAAGACTCAAAGTCCATGCTACACTTACCCCCTCTCCCAGTAAGAGGGTTTCATTGAAAGGTGTTCCTATGGAGCCGCAATTAATAATATGCGTCCTCTGCTGAAAGGAACATCTCTGAAGCAGAACTGCATCAGATTCTTCTCTGCCTGTAGTTCCCAGCCTACGGTTTGTGTGAAATAGTTTGGGTGTCAGTGCCAGAGCCACCATCTATGTTAACACTGTCATCAACAGGATCAGCCTAAACCACAAAAACGAATGATAGTGGCGATACTTGCTGTAGTGATAGCAAAGCCATAAGTGAAATTGTGAGAACATCAAAATTTATAATAAAGACTTCTCTTTATGGTGTTTTAAAGTTTATAAAGCACTTTGCAGTGGTTCTTCGTATTGATCATCTTGGTAGGTATTATTGTTTTTTTAATATATATATATTTTATTGATTTTTTTACAGAGAGGAAGGAAGAGGAAAAGAAAGTTAGAAACATAGATGAGAGAGAAACATCGATCAGCTGCCTCCTGCACACCCCCTACTGGGGATGTGCCCGCAACCAAGGTACATGCCCTTGACCAGAATCGAACCTGGGACCCTTCAGTCCCCAGGCCGATGCTCTGTCCACTAAGCCAAACCGGTTAGGGCGGTAGGTATTATTATTATCCATATTTTACAAGCAAAGAATCCAAGACCTCGAGAGATTAAGTGACTGGCACAAAGTCTCACAATAAAGACATAGACTGGGGACACCAATCTGGCCCCACATGACAAGCTGTGCTTCTCCTTTGGAGCTCTCTCCATTTCCTCTCCCTTTCCTTGGTCCTCGTCCTTCCTCCCACTCTGTGCCTTTCCTGTGTTCCATTCTTATCACGTAGAGAATTCTTGTTTCAATGTTAACTAATAATCATGTGTTGGCTGATGATTATTAGTGTTAGTATTAACTCAGAATTGAAATGTTAACTTAGAAGAGTTTAAAATATCTCTCCCAGACGTGCAGAGGGATTTAAATACTTTTAAGAAGGGGAGTTGTAATTGTGGATCTTATTACCATCATCATCCACAGATTTCAAGGAATAAAACTAGAATATGCAATGATTGACAATCTAAAAATAATAACTGTCGTATATTGAACTCATACTATGTCATGGGCTCCGTAACAGCCACTTAAATTTTTTTACTTAATTCGCTCAACCACTATTGAATTTTATAAATGAGTGTCCTGAGGCATAAAGAAGTTAAATAACATGCTCGAAGTCGTGCAGTCGTAGCCTGGTCCAATTCCTGTGTTCTTAATCTTTATACCAGCTCAGTCAGGGGCTGATTTTTACTTAAAAGAAAGCCTGCCTCTCCCTGGCAGGAGACCCTAAGTTGGGGGGAAACAGAGAGGGTCTAGTATTGTGGGAAGAAGACAATTCACCCAGGCCTTTCAGTTGTGCTATTGAGAGCTCAGAATTGGAGTGAGGAGGGAGGCTTTTCTTCTGGACTCAGGAGACCACCTCCCCACTTCTCTCATGATAGTGAGCCATGGTTCTCTTTAGAAATAGTGACTAAATGAATCTTTCATAAACTATTGATGAAAGTTTGTCTTGATTGACACTACGAGGATACAGCCAAAAGCAGTGTAACTTTCCTCTTCAGTTCATTGGCCACAAGGCTACCTGAGACATTGATCTAAAATTTGTACTTGATCATGCCATTCCTCTGCCAAAAACTCTTAAGTGGCTCTCTGTCTGTGGGATAAACACCTTAATAAGGCATCAGGGCCTCCCAGGATCTGGGCTCTGCTGACCCCTTCAGTCCCATCTCTGCTCACAGCTTTTGACCAGGATAGTCATACGGGACTACTGAGATTCCCCACAGCTCACTGTGTTTTCTGTCACCTATAGACTTTTCACATCCACTCTCTGCCCACTTCCTTTTTACCCTTCAATTGGCTAAATCACTATTTATCCTTTAAGATCCAGCTCAGCCATTCATTCAGTCACTCAACAAATACCTATTAATTACCAAGTATGGTTCTAGGCGTAGAAGTGTAGCAGAGAATAAAACACATATTCCTGCTGCCCAGCTGGTGTGGCTCAGTGGTTGAGTGTTGACCTGTAAACCAGGAGGTCACAGTTTGATTCCTGGTCAGGGCACATGCCCAGGTTGTAGGCTCAATCCCCAGTGTAGGGCTTGCAGGAGGCAGCTAATCCATGATTTTCATCATTGATGTTTTTATCTCTCTCTTCCTCTCTGAAATCAATAAAAAATATTTTTAAGAACCCCACATATTCCTGCCCTTTACAATGAGTCTATTTTGTAGGATATATAAACAAGTATAGTGTATGGATAAGTGGCATGGAACTAGAACAGGAAAAGAGGATAAGGAGCTCAAGGGAGTTGTGAGGGAAGGCCTGGCTGACTGGATGACATTAGAGTTGAAGGAGGTGAGGGAGTGAGGTATGTGGCTATCTGAAAAAAGAATATTCTAGACACAGTATCCAATATAATAAAAGGGTAATATGCAAATAGACTGAACGGCAGAACAACCAACCAACCAATCAAAGCGTAATATGCTAATGATATGCTAAGGCTGCTCAACCACTCGCTATGGCGTGCACTGACCACCAGGGGGCAGATACTCCAACTGGTAGATTAGCTTGCTGCTGGGGTCCAGCTGATCCGGACTGAGCGAGATGGGCCAGACACACCCTGAAGCCCTCCTGTGGTCCCTGCCTGGCCTGATCGCGCACCGGTGGGGTCCCTCAGCCTGGCCTGCACCCTCTCACAATCCAGGGCCCTTCGGGGGATGTTGCAGAGCCGGTTTCAGCCCGATCCTGCAGGCCACTCCTCTTGGGAGGGCGCCAGACGCAGGGCTCATGGCTGGCGAGTGCTGCTGTGGCAGCGCGAGCCTCTCCCCGATTGGGACTGATTGGGCGTGGCAGGCACAGTGGGGCCTGGATGAGTGGGAGTGGCAGGTAGGAGCTGCATGCAGCGCTGGACTGCAGGTTTCTGCCCAATCGCTGCAGGCCACCCAGAGGGACCCCACCCATGCACGAATTCGTGCACTGGGCCTCTAGTAAGGATATATGAGACAGGAGCTCCCTTGGCTCAGTTGTTAGCTCTCCAGAGATACTCTGCAGCCTCGATGTGGACAGCTACCATATGGCCTAACTTAGAGTAGGTACACAGAAATATTTGTTAAATAAATGAATGAATGTGATCTTACAGGCCTTGTTCTTACAGCCTGGTAATTTTTATAAATTATTTATAAGCTAGGGCATGGATGACAGGCGAGAGAGAGAGAAAAAAAATGTTAAGCCTGGTCCTGTATAACTAGCTTAATTCACTTTTTGGGCCTCTGAAAAGTAGAACTCCTGATTTTCTTTGAGAAATGTATCTAGAGACTTCCATTTTCAGGATTATGGCCAGCTATATAACCTGTATAATGGTGGATAAACTATAAAAAATATAGCTGAATTTGTAAGAAAGTAAGAGAAATCCCCAGGGGCCTAAAAACCAAGAGTAAACTGAAAACCAGAGTAGTTACTCCCTTAACCTGACCTCAGCAGTCCTGGATGCTTGCTGGTCTTACCTAGAAGTTTGGCTTTAATAGACATGTTGTTACCGTGAATGAAACTATGGGCCTGCATGGTCTAGACCAGCGGTTCTCAACCTGTGGGTTGCGACCCCTTTGGCAGTCGAACGACCCTTTCACAGGGGTCGCCTAAGGCCATCCTGCATATCAGATATTTACATTACGATTTATAACAGTAGCAACATTACAGTTATGAAGTAGCAATGAAAATAATTTTATGGTTGGGTCACAACATGAGGAACTGTATTTAATGGGCCAGAAGGTTGAGAACCACTGGTCTAGACTTTGGTTGAAACTGAGATCCTTACATGAAGTCACGTCCCTTGAAAATCTACACCTGATTGGGTGGATGGACTAGGAAAAAAATCGCTACTGATGCAGAAATGACAAAGAAGATTGCCTTTTATCCAATTTCAAAGAGAGGGAAAAAGTTGCCCCAAAGAATTCTTAAACAGGCATTTCTTGATATGGATTTGGGTTTACATATATGTTACCCAAATGGCCTAAAAACTCCAAGCCAAGAAATTGGTATTAGAAGCCATCTGGGTTGGTAATATCCCTGGATGCTTGGCAGAAGTATATGCAGAATCTCTGGAGAGAACCCACATGGCACAGGCTATATAGAATTCCCACAGAGTCGGGGGGATGGATGTGTTAAACAAGAATGCGTATTGCTGGCTTTGTGCAGTTGGGACCATAATGTTATTTTTATATTAAGAAAAATAAACATCTCTGGCTCTCAGTGATCTCCAGAAATGGAATGATAGAACAGAACTTGTATACAAGCCAGCATTTGGATATGGATACACATTGAGCTGCCTCCTATTATTGCAGAGGTCATGGAAGAAGTGACATCGTGCTCCTTCAACAACCCTCTGTTCCAGCAGGAAGACAAGGGAGGGGTCACCTACCGGATCCCAGCCCTGCTCTACATACCCCCCACCCACACCTTCCTGGCCTTTGCAGAGAAGCGCTCTACAAGCAGGGATGAGGACGCGCTCCACCTGGTGCTGAGGCGAGGGCTGAGGACGGGGCACTTTGTACAGGTGACTCCTCCCCGATCTGGGCCTGGGCCCCAGTTTCTCTCCACATTTGCTCTGTTCCTTTTCCCACCAGTGCAGGGACAACCCTGTGCAGGAGTTGAAGAGGAAAAGGCAATAAAAGCAGTGCTCACGGAGCACTGACTGTGTGCCAGGGGCACATTGATCCTCTCGGCCACTCCGTGACGTAGGAATTATTGTCAGTCACATTTTACGGATGAGGAAACAGGCTCAGAGAGCTTGCCACATTGCTCAAGGTCACACAGCTACAATAAAGGAGTAGAAGCAGGCTTCGGACTTGATCTCTAGAGGCCTCCGTGGTTCATATGTACTTTTCACTCCCATTCTCTTTTCTCTTTCTAAGTCACTGAAAAAAGTAGACATTGTTAGTCCAGGGTTGCTGATGAGGGATCCTGGTGCTCTGAGAGGTAGGTAGCTTGTTTAAGACCACAACTAGTGCTCGCTTCGGCAGCACATATACTAAAATTGGAACGATTCAGAGAAGATTAGCATGGCTCCTGCGCAAGGATAACACGCAAATAGCACGTGAAGCGTTCCATATTTTTTTAGAGGGAAAAAAAAAAGAACAAAAAAAGAGGAAAAAAAAAAGACCACAACTAGCAGATAATGAATTGGAGGGTATATGGTAACAACAATCATTCTCTACTACTACTGTTCTTCTTACCTCATGCTTTATTCATTTTTATTCTCTGATTAACTCAGTTGTAGAATCCTGAAATTAGAAGTCATAAGCCCAACTTCTTTTCCAGTATAGAAATCTTCTGTATTCCATTGGTAGCTACTAATAGCTTAGTGGTTAAGAGCATGGCTTTGTAGTCAGGCAAGACCTACAATTTATTGGCCCTGTGACCAAGGATACTTGATTCTTTTCTGTTTCATCATCTGCAGAATGTGATTAATAATAGCAGTTGCATAGTAGGAACTCAACATTAGTCATCTTCTATAAAGGTTCTGCTTACTCCTCAAGTAAGGAATTCATCCTGTGGCTGCTGTTAACTTTTTTTTGGAGGATGAGACGATCCACACTCCTCTATAATTACCCATTGGTCTTGTTCTGCCTTCTGGGGTTCTGGGGTTGTCAATCTATACATGATACAGTCCCTTCTGCTGAGACTGCTCTTTGATATACCTGAAAGTGGGTGTTCATGCCCACTGAGTTTTCTGTTTTGGGGACTCACAACTTGAGTTCTTTAGTGTCTTCTTAGGTCACAGTCTGGATTTGGTTTCTGGGCCCTTGAAAACGGATTACTCTGGGATGTTAGAGTCCTTTTTAAAAGAATGGCACTCAGAATTGAACTTAGGACCCCAAGGATAGAGCCACCCCACCAATGAGATGGCTATCCCATCTTGTATCCTTTTCACACATCCTAAGGTAAAGTAGCATTTACTTTTTGATCCTGCATAATACAGCTGACTAATAAATATTAAGTAGACGGTCAGCTGAAACAAGTCTTTTTCACATTTGTTGTTTTTTAAAAAAACACAAAACTTTTAATTGTAGTAAAATACACCTAACAAAATTTTCCATCTTAATCATTTTAAGTGTACATTATGGTATTAACTGTATGCACATTATTGTGCAACAGATCTTTTTATTTTTTTTTAACAGAATCTTTTTTCCTTTATTGACTTTTTTTATTTTTGCTACCCTGTTTTTTAATTTTAAAGAGCTTCTCATCTATTGCTTCTTTTTATTTTTTTTAATATATTTTATTGATTTTTTACAGAGAGGAAAGGAGAGGGATAGAGAGTTAGAAACATCGATGAGAGAGAAACATTGATCAGCTGCCTCCTGCACACCCCCTACTGGGGATGTGCCCGCAACCAAGGTACATGCCCTTGGCCGGAATCGAGCCTGGGACCCTTTAGTCCACAGGCCGACGCTCTATCCACCGAGCCAAACTGGTTAGGGCAACAGATCTTTTTAAAACTTTGTCATTGCGCATGACAGCAGTTCTGTACACATTGAACAACTCATTCCCGCGCCCCTCCACCCAGTCTCTAATAACCATTATACTACTTTGTTTCTATGAGTTTGATTATTTTAGGTATCTCATATGTAATATTTGTTCTTTTTATGATGGCTTATTTCATTTAGAGCAGTGATTTTCAAAAATTCAAGCAGTGAATTTTTAAAGCATGTAATACCTGACTATTTAGTCAGGGGCACTGACCTCTTTGCCCGTACATTGTCAAATTTAAAAAATGACAATAGCAAACCCAACACTAGTTGTCTGATGAGAATGAATCAAAATTAAGCCTGTTTTTTGTCAGGTTGGCAAAAAGTATATTTTTCTGTGTACTGCAGAATTTTAGTAATTAGTTTATATGTGCCATGGGATGAAAAAGGTTGAAAATCACTGATTTAGAATAATATCCTCAAGGTTCATCTTGTAGCATTTGGCAGGATTTTCTTCTTTGTAAAGACTAAATAATAGTTCATTGTAAATTATGTTTATTCATTGGTTTATCCATTTTGTTTATCCATTCTTCTGTTGATGGACACTTGGGTTACTCCCACCTTTTGGCTATTGTGAATAATGCTCTATGAACATGGTGTGCAAATATATATTTGAGACATTGCTTTCAATTCTTAGGACCTATACCTACAAGTAGAATTGCTGGGTCATATGGTAATTCTATTTTTAATTTATTGAAGTTCCTCCATATTGTTTTCCACATCAACAGTGCACAAGGCTTCCAGTTTCTCTATATCCTTGCCAACACTTATTTTGTGTGTGTTTTTTGGTAGTAGTCATCTTAATGGATATGAGGTGATATCTCATTGTAGTTTTTATTTTCACTTTCCTAATTATTAATAATGTTTAGTATTTTTTCATAATGCTTTTTGGCTATTACATTTGTTGTTCTTTAATCATGTTTCTCCATCCAGACTTTTAAACCCAAGACTCATTTTACATTTCTGTCAAGCCTCAGCTTGCTTATATTCCATTGCTGCAGCTGGATGATATAATTTGGATTCTAGTGCTTTCATCTTTAGTTTACTGTTTCTTCTAGCTTCATATAAACTTTATTTTAGACATATCTGGTCCAAATCATTTTCTCCTCTCAGCTACTAAGGATGGCTATGCTTCTGACTTCCCAATGACTAGCTTGCCCAGTACAGTAATTTCCCCCACTCTCCTATTTCTAAAGGGAGTAGCAGTGCTGATGGATTTCTTATATCTGTCTCAAGGTTCTTGATCTGAGCAATATTAATTATTCAAATGACTGTGCATCAGATGAGTTATTTTTCATTGGAAACACGTTCAGTGCTATTCATAAAGTGTTTGTGTCCACATGGTGCTGAAGAGACAGGGGTTCTATCTTCAGAGCGACAATAGGGAATTAAATCTGCTCCCCAGGGCTGTTCTAGGCACTTGGGAGGGAGAGGAGCCTCTGGGCATTGTTTATATAGAGTATTGTTTCTATCTGAGAGCATTTCTATAATCCTTCCCTTCACTCCTCCCTTATATTCTCCCCCTCTCCTTCCCTTCTCTCTCCGCCCCTTCCATTCCTCTCTCCTTTCTTTCTCTATCCTTTCCTCCTTTATTGAGCACCTAAATATACCAAGCATTAAGTCAAGGGGGATGTGGGAGGGAGGCAATACAAAAGTTGACAGATTCAGGCCTCTCTTTGTGAAGAATTTGCACAACTGAAGTGCATAGAGAAAGCAGAACTGGGCACAGATGTAAGTGTTCAAAACTCCCATACACAATCCATGAAGTGTCACAAGGCAGGTCCACTCAGAGTGGGGAATTTCCTTAGAAGAAGGAGTGCAGATGCATTTGAGGATCGGAGAAGTTATTGTGTGGCCACAGCATTAAAGCTGATTCTCGAAGTGAGTGGGTCAAAGGTGAGCAGAATCAAAGGTTTCTCCCTGGATTCTCCACATGCAGATATGGTCTTTTCCTCCTCTGATACCCATGGTGCCCTTTCTCCTTTTTCTGATGGTATCTGCGATCCTGGAGTCTGCTCTGTGGGTGCCTTTCCCCTCCTCAAGGCAGGAAGGCTGCACCCTCCCACTGGTGGCCTCCTGGACCTTGATTCCTTGAGAATCACAGAGAACTGAGGTCCTTCCTTCAGGGGTTTACAATGCAGTCAGATATCGATGTGAACTTCTTATGCATAGAGAGTTTCCAGAGAGTAACATGCCATTTGGGAGGATTTAGGAAGCAGTCTTCAATTAGTTAGCAATCTGGGGGAACTTTGTAGAGGAAGGAGGGCTTCTGTCCAATAATTACATTGACTTTGGCACATATATTTGAAGTGTTTACAGTGCACAAGGCACTTGCTGTAGAATGGGTTGCTCCAGTACAGGGATAGTGAGTTCCCTGTCCTTAGTCTAGTTCAGGGAGGGACTGAATGATCTTTAACTAGAAAACTTAGAAGAGAATCTTCTGTAAGACGGGTGTTAGCACTAGGTCCTTATGATTTTGAGAATCTGTGAACTGAGCTTTGCTTAATATTTCTTGCCCATTCACATAGGAATTAAATTTTTAAAACTTATTTTTTGTTTTGGCTAGTTAATCTAATCTAATAATAGACAAACAGGGTAATTGACCGTACCTTCGCTACGCCTCCCATTGGCTAATCAGCGTGATATGCAAATTAACGGCCAACAAAGATGGCGGTTAATTTGCATACGTAGGCTCCAAGTGGTGGAGCGAAGACTGAAGGTGAGCCAGAGCCACGAAGACGGAGGATGGAAGGCGGCTCCGGCTGGGGCTGCGAAGACAGAGGACGGGAGGTGGCTCCGGCCGGAGCGAAGGCCTGGGTCTCGGGTGCCGGAAGAAAACCAGTGCTGGCAGCCAGAAGAAGGGAAGGCCTATTGCACGAATCTCTTTGTGCAACGGGCCTCTAGTTGATTTATATGGCTGAAAAATAAAAACAGTATAAAGAGGTATACATCCCATTCCTAGTCTTTTACCTCCTATAGGCAATCACTGTTGTTTCTTAACGTATCTTTCTAGTGCTTCTTCATAAAGAAACAAATACAAGTATATATCCTTAACTAGAAGCCTCATGCATGAAATTCTTGCACTCAGGGGGGTCCCTCAGCCCGGCCTGCACCCTCTCGCAGTCTGGGAGCCCTTGGGGGAAGCGGGCCTAAGCTGGCAGTCAGACATCCTTAGTGCTGCCACAGAGGCGGAAGAGGCTCCCACCATCACCATTAGCTGAGCAGCACTCCCCCTGTGGGAGCACACTGACCATCCGGGGATAGACCCTGCATTGAGCATCTGTCCCCTGGTGGACCGTGCACATCATAGTGACTGGTCATTCCAGTGTCAGGCCGAAACCAGCTCTCCGACATCCCCAAGGGGTCCCGGATTGTGAGAGGGTGCAGGCCAGGCCAAGGACCCCACCAGTGCACGATAGGGGCTGGGGAGGGACACAGAAGGTTGACCAGCTGAAGAGGGACCGTGGGAGGGCTCCAGGGCGTGTCCAGCCCGTCTCGCTCAGTCCCGATCGGCCGGACTCCAGCAGCAAGCTAACCTACCAGTCAGAGTGTCTGCCCCCTGGTGGTCAGTGCATATCATAGCGAGCAGTTGAGCAGCCTTAGCATATCATTAGCATATTATGCTTTGATTGGTTGAATGGCGGACCGGACACTTAGCATATTAGGCTTTTATTATATAGAATATGCTGACTTCCCAATGACTAGCAAACTTTTTCCCCCAATAACTTTTCTTATGCCTTTTAAAACATTTCAATGTGAAGTGATAACACACATATAGAAAACATAAGACAAAACATAAATGTCAGCTCTGAATTGATAGAGCCAAACCTTGTGAATTTATCATTTAAGGAAAAAATTAGGATGTTACCCTAGACCAGTGATGGCGAACCTTTTGAGCTCGGCGTGTCAGCATTTTGAAAAACTCTAACTTAACTCTGGTGCCGTGTCACATATAGACATTTTTTGATATTTGCAACCATAGTAAAACATTTATATTTTTGATATTTTATATATTTAAATGCCATTTAACAAAGAAAAATCAACCAAAAACATGAGTTCGTGTGTCACCTCTGACACGCGTGTTACAAGTTCGCCATCACGGCCCTAGAAGCTTCTTATGTCTCCTCTCTCCTTCTCAGAGGTAATTATTATCCTGATGTGTAGCTCGTGATTTTAGTTTTGCTTGTTTTTAATCATTTCTAAATTTTTAGTTTTTTAAATTACAGTTTACATGCAGTATTATTTTGTATTGGTTTCAGGTTGTACAGCATAGTGTTTAGACAATCATATACTCTATGTATCCTTTATGTTTGGCTTCTTTTGTTCAATATTCTCGAGGTTTATCCAAATTAGGTGTACAGCTGTGATTTGTTCATTTTCATTGTTACATAGTACTCTGGGCCAGATGTTAAGCTCCTCTTCCTGGCACTGGTGCTTCAGACTAGGGTGCCTAGCATGGAGTTGAGACCCCTTGTTCCTCAGGGGGTACCTTTGCAGCTGAGATATTCCTCCTGATTCACAACCACCACATCTGGTTGCAGGACCAGCCCTTTTTGTGTCTCCACCCTACCTACCAGTCTTGATGTGGCTTCTATAAATATTTGGTTATAAGACTTTAGCTATTCAGGTTGGTTATTCAGGTTAATTGTTCTATAATTTACTTGTAATTTGGTTTGGTCCTGAGAGGAGGTTAGTGTCACTTCCACTTACTTCACCACCATCTTGGATCTCCCCCACAGTGAGTAATATATATACTTAATTAGATGAACAGATATATCTTAGGATAATTTCCCAAAATTGGGCATGCTCGGAAAGGCTACGTGCATGTGTAATTTTGATAGATCCTACATAAATGTTAAACCATGTTACACTCCAATTCGTACTTGAGAATGTCTGTTTCTTCACATTTTTTTGCCAACAGAAAAGTATTGTTAAAGTTTATATGTTACCAGTTCATTAGATGAAAAATACTATCTTACCCGGCCGGAGTGGCTTAGTGGTTGAGTGTCAGCCTATGAACCAGGAGGTTGAGGCTCAATCCCTGGTCCAGCACATGCTGTATTGCCAGCTCAATTCTTGGTGGGAAGGGGGGGGTGTGCAGAAGGCAGCCGATTGATGATTCTCTCTCATCATTGATGTTTCTATCTCTATCTCTTCCTCTCTGAAATCAATAAAAGTATTTTTTAAATACTATCTTAATTTTAACTTGCTCTTCTCTTTTATATGTGAGGTTGAACATATTTTCATTTTTTCTCTCTTTCTGTGAGTTGTCTGATCTTGCTCTTGGTCCATTTCTCTTTTGAACTTATCAATTTCTAATATTGTTTTAAAAGTATATTAAGGTGGTTAGACCTCTCTTTGTGATATTAGACATTATCTTATTTTATCCTTGCAACAACAACTCTCTGAGCATGTTATTACATCCTCCATTTAACTGATGTAACTGAAGCAAAGGAAGATTAAATAACTTGCCCCAGGTCGCATATGTGATGAAAGCAGGGTTAAATTAGGTGTTTCTGACTCCATGCTTGAGTTTTTAATGACAATGTTATGAATTGCCTCCCCAGGGTAGTAGAGGAAGGAAATAAAACCTTTATCTTAAATTTCCTTTTATATGCCTAAAATTTCCATGTCTGTCTGTCTTGCTTTGTATTTCTTATCTTCCTTCTTTTTCTTTTGGAGGCGAGTCCTTTCTTTCTTTTTAAAAATATTTATGTAGCTCCTATCATGTACTGAGCACTGGAGATACAAAATTAGAACAATTTGGTTTCTACTCTAAAAAGATTCATAGTTTAGAGAGGGAGTGGGTCACATAAAAATATAATGTTATATAATAATTGCTATAAGTCTTTTGTATATACAAAGAGAAAGCCTTTGGTATAAAACAGGAGGTGAGTTTTGATACCATTTATTTGAGCATCGAGACAAAGTGAGGAAGAATGTTTTGGACAGAGGGGATAGCATGAGAATTAAGTGAATAGTTGGGCCTTCCCAATTTTATAGATTTTAATACCATTTATTTATTTTCTCTGAAAAGTTCCAATGCTTTTAATGAGCCTCATGTCTTCTTATTAATCTCTCACTCCTGCTCGCTCTCCCTTCTTCTTGTCTAGTGGGGACCAGTAACACCACTGATGGAAGCCGTGTTACCTGGGCATCGGACCATGAACCCCTGTCCTGTATGGGAGCGAAACACTGGCTGTGTGTACCTGTTCTTCATTTGTGTGCAGGGCCATGTCACCGAGCGTCAACAGATTATGACAGGCAGGAATGCTGCTCGCCTCTGCTTCATCTGCAGTCGAGATTCTGGCTATTCGTGGAGCAGCGTGAGGGACCTGACTGAGGAGGTCATTGGACCAGAGGTGAAGCGTTGGGCCACATTTGCTGTGGGCCCAGGTCATGGCATCCAGCTGCAGTCTGGGAGGCTCATCATCCCTGCATACACCTACTACATCCCTTACTGGTTCTTTTGCTTCCGGCTACCATGTAAAGCCAGGCCTCATTCCCTGATGATCTACAGTGATGACCTAGGGACCACATGGCACCATGGCAGGCTCATTAAGCCCATGGTGACAGTGGAGTGCGAAGTGGCAGAGGTGACTGGGAAGGCCGGCCATCCTGTGCTGTATTGCAGTGCCCGAACACCAAACAGATGCCGGGCAGAGGCTCTGAGCACTGACCATGGTGAATGTTTTCAGAAACCAGCCCTGAGCCAGCAGCTCTGTGAGCCCCCGCGTGGCTGCCAAGGCAGTGTGGTGAGTTTCCGGCCCCTGGAGATTCCAAATGAATGCCAGGACCCTAATGGCAAAGATGCTCCTACCATTCAGCAGAGCCCTCTGCTGGGCAGTTCTGTGAGGCCCAAGCAGGAAGCTGGAACACTGTCAGAATCATGGCTCTTGTACTCACACCCAACCAGTAAGAAACGGAGGGTTAACCTAGGCATCTACCTCAACCGGACCCCCTTGGAGGCTGCCTGCTGGTCCTCCCCCTGGATCTTGCACTGCGGGCCCTGTGGCTACTCCGATTTGGCTGCTGTGGAGGAGGGCTTGTTTGCGTGTTTGTTTGAGTGTGGGATCAGGCGGGAGTGTGAGCAGATTGCCTTCCGCTTGTTCACAGACCAAGAGATCCTGGGCCATGTGCAAGGTGACTACACCAGCCCTGGTAGGAACTCTGACCCAATTCAAAACTAATTGGCTTAGGATCCAACTTTCCATAGAAGGGAAACCATTAGAAGGCAACCATAGCCAGGATCATGGAGGCCAGGATAGCATAGCTTACAGAAGCCTACAGGGAATCCCAAAATGCAATATTCTGCTCCCTACCTTTTTCACCTCTCAAAGATAAAATGAAAAATTTGCCATAGCTACTGTAGCCAAAGTAGCACTGAACTGTGTGAATTGGGAGACCATGATATGATCTTGGGTCTGCCATGCTGGCTCTGGGACCTTAAACTCTCTTTGCCTCAGGTCTCCATCTGTAAAATGAGAGGATTGGTCTGTGATTTCTCTTCTTCCTATCCCCAGGGAAGGCAGAGGGCCTGCTTGCTGCATGATCAGCAAGTCCTGGCTGCACATAGGACTCTGGTATCAAAATGAAAATCACAGGACTCGTCTTTTCCAATGACTGAGGTTCCAAGCAGATGTCATGTCATGAAGAAGGGTCTGGATGATTTGTTCAGTAATAGACGAGCTCTATAGGCTATCCAAGAGGAGTTGGGCAAAACAGAAACATGGGGTCACCTCCCTTCTTTAGCTTTGCAACTCTGCGCAACCTGCCCTTACGCATCCAGAAAGCATTATTTCCTAGGGAGAGACTGAGAGGCTCAATACCAGTAGTCCATATTGTTTCTGATGGCATTATTTCTATGAAAGATAACCTGAAGTTCATTTATTAGGATGGTTCCTGATGAGAAAAAGACATGACTTACGGCTTTAAAACATTGGACAAAACTTCCCACAGTCTCTGCCCTCAAGGAGCTCACAGTTTATGAGGCTAGAAGAGGGAGAAAATTTTTTAAAAAATGCAGTTGGTGGGATAGTTAGTAGATGTTGGGCTCTAAGTTGCATAACTGAAGCTCATCATCTTAGTTGCATCTTTATTGTGCCTGGAGTCATCTGCCCCGGGGCTTGTCCAGGCTGCTAGGTTTCCCCTAAGTTTGTTTTTCTTAGACTATTGTCCCAGCCCAGCCACTCTATTTGCCAGTGGAGAAACTCTTCACCCTTAGGAAGGTCTTGGACCTTCCAAACCGCTGAGTCTGGCCTGCTTGGACCTACGGAAATCACTGTTTGCGAAGTGAGATGACCCTTGTCTAATAATTTTGGGGCTGAACTAATACTGGGTCTCTCAGATGATACCAGATTGGTTGCTCTTATTTTAGGTTGTTTCCCCCGTAGCCTGTTACTTTGAGGGAAACTCTATTATGAGAGATTTCTTTTTTGTCCCTCTTAAATCGGTATATCAGCTATATACAGGGTGGGACAAAAGTAGATTTACAGTTGTTCATATGGAAAATAATACAATAATTAATAAATAATAGTACAAGAATAAACTGTGTTTCATGTACTCAGAACTTTGTCCTACCCTGTATATATGGCGCTAGGTAATGGCCCAGAGAGCAAGTCTTAGTGGTAGAGCATAGCCTAGGATGCACCCGTCAGATGGGGGAGTAGTCCTATGGGAGGAAAGTAGGGATTAACTTCACCTACTTCAGCAGGTAGCTTAAGCCAGTGTCTTACGGTGGCCTGTCATACATTCGTCATTATCTTCTCAGTAGTCAGCTATGATCATTCACTCATTTATACATTTATGTAGCTATTTCTTGAGTGCCTGTGCATAATAATGTAAGGTGTATTCTGTTGCCATTTCCTGGTTGAAAATAATTTGTGGCTCCTCATTGCCTATTAAAGGCTACAATTAGCCTGGCATGTAGGATGAAATAATGACTACTTATCTCTACTTCTTTATGTGAAGGCCACTGTCAAGCCCATTGTCAGGTTGGCACATGGAGGCAGGTGGGGTGAGGTGGACAAGAGTGGTGGTGTAGGGGGAGGATTGAAAGGGCATCCCCCTCCTGAGTTCTTGTTCAGCAAAGCTTTCCAGAGCACTGCACTCTAAATGGATAGAAATAGGCAAGATGGCTAAGCTCTACATCAGGGCTAAAGGGTGGAGAGAGTGAGAATATCAGGACTTCTTTGGGACTATCCAAGAAGGGAGGGACGTCAGTCCCATGCCAGCGTGAACCACAGATGTCCAGTATGAGTACTCCTAAAGACTTATCCAGCTCTAAATTGCCCTGCCCTTTCTCCTTCCCCTTGCCTCATGTTTACTTCTCCTTAGCGAGAAATTCCCTTAATAGGCAATGAATTTCCTTAATAGGCAAAGGGCCTATGTGCACATTTTGGGAGTAGCAAGAAAAGCGGTTTGGGGACAGGCATAATCCAGAATGAGGATTAGCGAGAGGAACAGATGGGTGATGGCAGCTGTGAAGAAAAAGAATAGCAGGTAGAAGTCCTGGCACTTGGAGATAGAAAGGACAGACATGAGGCCTAAGCTGGAGAGATGGTGTAGGTGGTAGTGCTGTGAAGAAGAAATGATAACTGGCTGGCGCTGTTCCCTGTGCACAGGCAGCAGGAAAATTCCTCCCAGCCGTGTAATTTTAAGCTGGCTCTACTTGATGAACAAAAACCACTATAGGCACTCAACTCTGTGCCAGTTACCCAGGTCTTCAGGGCCCTGGGACCGACACCGTGATGCTGGTATCCTAACTAAGCCCACTTCAGCCACTTTCAGGTTGGTAGAATGAAAAGATAGGGCAGGTGATGGCAGCTGTGAAGAAAAGAGGAAAGACTGAAGGCCTCTGATATAGAGACATGAAGAAAGGACTGCATAGGTTGTGGTCCTTTGCTCCCAGATGCCCCATCCTGTCCTTGAACCCTTAGTATCCATCTAGCAAAGGTGGCCCCCCAGGGGAAGTGCAAGAATGCGCCGGTAGTGAGTGGCCTCCTGCTGGTATGTGCCCTTGTTCAATCTGCTGGTCCTGCTCATGCTCCCTAACTCTTGGTTCCTCACTCCTAGGCTCCTAATGTTTACCTCAGGCCTTTGTTATTTGGCCCTTGTTATCTGGATCAGTTTTTCCTGGTCACCAGTCTCCCCGCAGATATCCACAAGGTAGCAGATATCCACAGGGTATCGTGTAACTACAGCCATAGGGAAGAGACCTTGCAGCCTGCCTGTGGGGTAGCCCGAGGGACCCACAGAGGCCACCCTGAGGCTGCACAGCCTCTGCCCCAGGACAGTGGGATTCAGTACTTCCACTTGGACCAGATGAAATTGCTCAGACTTCCTCAGGAGGCCGTGAATTTTTCCCACTGCGTTATTCAGTAGGTGTCGTGTCCTCCTGTGCTGCCACAGTGCACAGTCTGAGCCTCCTTTCGGTCCTTACCACAGGCTGCCCTGTTATTGTCTGCTGTGCCCTCTAGGCCTCTGCTAGTCTGTGAACTCCTTGAGGGCTAAGTCTGACTCCTCACTGTATCCTCTTTACTTTGAACCACAATGCCTTGTTATATCATATGCTAGAACAAATGCTTTTTCTACCATATTTTGATTTCCCTGTTGAGGACTCTGAGTCCTCTCTGTGCTCTGCACCCAACACAGGGCCTGGTGCAGAATAGACAACAGAGAAGCTATGCTGAATTAATAAAGGAGTTAAAGACCCTTGGCCTTGGAAGCTAACTGAGAAGGGTAGGGTGAGTTCCCTCAGGGAGGAGCATGTCGCATCCCTCTGGGTTCACAGCACTCTAAAGGTGCTGAACACTCACCCTACATGAGTCTCCCGTGTGCTGGCCTGCTTCCACGTCAGTCACAGGATTTCCTGGGAATGAGCTTTTCTCTGGCTGCCTGGATATCCTAAGGATCATAGCCCAAGCCCAAAGCAAAGTCTTGATTTGGGGTTCTCATTTCACTGGTAGCCCCCTCCCCGAACCTAATTGGATTTTCTATAGCTACCGCTCCTCCAGGACTCAGAGGGAGATGCCGGGGCTCGGCATGTTCCACGCCTGTCTTGGTTCTGTGATACTAGGAGCCACAAATGCTCTCTGTACTATGAAAACCACCATGACTCTTTGAAACAAGGAAGATGAATAAAAAGCATAATTCCGGCGACTACTGGTTTTGTTATTGTTAAGGAAACTGAGATCATAATCATTCTAATACTTACATCTAGTTTATACCCAGCTTTTTTTTTTGGATTCGAGGCATTTTCTTGCTTTTCATAAGAACTTTAACTTTCAGAAAACATTATCATAATAATCCTTCGCCCTTTTACATACTGTTACTGGAACATAGCAATTGAGGGCAGCAGGGCAGAGGGGACCATGGCTGGTCTGATGACACATTAGCTGTAAGTGGAGGCGCCTGGGTGCGCAGAGTCCCCCTCTGGCACCAGCCTCGGTGCTGTCAGCCCACGTCTAATTTCTTTTTTCGAAAATACCTTGAGATTACTCTCAACGTGCAGTTGGAGAGGCCACAGATATCTGCCTCAATGAAGTGGGGTGATAGCTTTTTGCTTGACTTTCTCTTTGTTACATTGGGGTGCTTAAGGCACTACTGATTCCGCCTCATTTCGGCATAACTACTCCAGTCCTGTCACTAGGTCAGCTGCCTTTAAAAAAACATACACACAAATTGACTATTGAAAAAGTTTCAAATAGACATATCTTTTGTCGTACCACTGAGAGTCATATAATGATGAAAGAATGAAGTTGAGAGAACTGTGAATTTGCCTCTAAAAATAGTTTTACAATAATTCTAGGATCATATTTTAAAATCCAATGATCTTTTTTGTGTGTTTTGTTAGATTGCTTAATGTCTGAGGGACCTCTGGGTTTGAGAGGAATATGCACCTCTATGTAAATTTTAGTGCTCCGTTTACTAAACTCGTTGTCAGTATAACATTGACAGTCTCTTGTGTATTTAAACAATAACATTTGATTGAACTGCCTTAAACATAAATACCAGTTACAAATTTAGTATAGCTGATCCTTTTGAACCATTCTTACACCCCACATAGTAGATAAAACATAAATACATCCAATGCTTATAAAACACAAGCTTACATCAAAATGGAGCTGAAAGAGTTGATGCTATGGAGTTAACTCTGTTCCTTATTATCCTTACACCTTTCAGGACTTTTAGCTTTTAAACTCTTTAGAGTTTTGGTGTCTTTACCAGATTTCCCCCTCTACTCTCCTGGGGGTTTAGTAATAGCAGATCCAAAGGAAAGAGAACGCCATTTCAGACAAGCTCTCTCCAAGGGCGCATTAAACTGGGAGGTCGGAGACCTGGAAGCAAAGACAGCCACCTTGTCCCCGGTGGCAGAGATGCCTGTGTGCAGCAGAAGCCTGAAAGAATGGAGCCAGGCAGAAACAGCCCTTATGATATCCACTGGGGTCCTCCCGCGTATGGGAAACTATAAACCCCAACCATTATTTAATGTTTATTTCTTAAGCTAGTTTGAGTTGGCTATAGATAGAAAGAAGATACACATTTTTACAGAAGATTTGGTTAATTAGTACTACAATCTGTTAGTCATGATGTGGAGCAGCACAACCACCACGAGAGATTAACTTTTAATTCAGTCTACTGAAGTTCAATCAACTATTATCTAAAGCAGTGGTTCTCAACCTTCCCAGTGTCACGACCCTTTAATACAGTTCCTCATGTTGTGGTGACCCCCAACCATAAAATTATTTTCGTTGCTACTTCATAACTATAATTTTGCTACTGTTATGAATCGTAATGTAAATATCTGATATGCAGGATCTATTTTCATTGTTACAAATTGAACATAATTAAAGCATAGTGATTAATCACAAAAACAATATGTAATTATATATGTGTTTTCCGATGGTCTTAGGCGACCTTTGTGAAAGGGTCGTTAGACCCCCAAAGGGGTCGCGACCCACAGGTTGAGAACCGCTGATCTAAAGGATACATTAACAGGAGAGACATTGGGATCAAATGGAGAAAGGACTGGACTGGGAGGAGTCAGGAGTCCAGGGTCCTTGTCCTAGAGCAGTGATGGCGAACCTATGACAACGCGTGTCAGAGGTGACACACGAACTCATTTTTTTGGTTGATTTTTCTTCGTTAAATGGCATTTAAATATATAAAATATCAAAAATATACATCTTTGTTTTACTATGGTTGCAAATATCAAAAAATTTCTATATGTGACACGGCACCAGAGTTAAGTTAGGGTTTTTCAACATGCTGACACGCCGAGCTCAAAAGGTTCGCCATCACTGCCCTAGAGCTTGCCACCGGTATGATGGGCGACTTTGTGCCAGTGACTGGCCCTCTCTGGGAGCCCATTTATTCAGCTATGGCAGGAGCATGATCCTTGCCCTGCCCCTCAACAGGGAGTGGTGTGGATTTGATGAGCTAGTGAGTTCTCAAAAGGGTTTAGGAAACAGTGCAGTGTAATGTAGATAGCAGATAAATTACCTTTCACCCATTGAACTCCATTCATTATCCATCAGCATTGGCAACATTTGACAGTTGAATGCTGAAAATAAGGATGATGGATAGAAAGGAGAGCAGGAAGGCAGAGCCCCCTGAGGAGGGCAGTCCACATTTGGAAAGCCACCTCGCCTCACCTCCATCATGTCCTTAGCAAACTGCAGGCCTTATGATCTTGCGCAGCCTTCTGATTTTGCCCCATACCTTTTACTCCCTTACTGTAAGGAACGACCCAGCCTGGGTATAAAGGAAGGGAATTTTGGCCAAGTATGAAGGGACTTGGTCTGAGTCACCTGTTCTCTATGCCCACCATACAGCCACGCATACATAGCAGAGTATAGGAAAGAAGACTGCAAGGGGAGTAACATTTTATTATTTATTTATTTTTAAAAATATGTTTTTATTGATTTCAGAGAGAAAGGGAGAGGGAGAGAGAGAGAAACATCGATGAGAGACACACATCGATCGGCTGCCTCCTGCACACCCAACACGGGATTAAGCTTGCAACTCAGGCATGTGTCCTGACCAGGAATCGGACCCGGGACCTCTTGGTCCATGGGACGATGCTCAATCCACTGAGCCACTCCAGCCGGGCAAGGGGAGTAACATTTTAAAAGTACCGACTTGTGAGTTGTATGTACTGTTATTTAATTCAGCTCATTTTAGAGAGAGGAAAGTTGAGACTCAACAAGGTTACATGCCATGGTCCCAGTGTCACACACCTGTAAGCGATGAAGCCTGATATGATTCCAAACCTATATCTTTGTCCTATGGCAGCTAAGAGACAGACTAAGGGTAAGACCTTGTAGATCAATGAGGCAAAGTTAGTGCCTAAGTCCTTGCACCTTGGGGGCTGTTCAGCAGCTGGTGAGAGACTGGTGATCACCCTATAGTAACATGTCTCACAGCTGCACTGGGTGGCCTCTCAAACCAAAGATCTTCCCCTTCTATTTCATCCAGGAGAAACGGTTTCTCTTCCTTGGAAGCCCAACTCTAGCTGGAGATTACTTTCCAGTCCCCCTGACCTTCAGGGCATTTTTCTTCCAAGACTCAGAGTTATCCTAAACATAGGTTTTGTTATCATCAACTAGGAATAGAATCAGAAATGAGAGCACGGATTCCCTTGGGAGGTAAACAGAGAACTTGGTAGTAGGTGAAGCTGCTTCGTGCTAAGTGAGAAGGTCAGAGGCTGCAGGCCCTGGGCAGGTCTCTGATCGAGCCACAGGTTGGAGACAGCAACTCTGTCTCTGCCTGTATGCAATGCGGATGGTCCTCCACACACTGTTCACAAACCTCACAACAACCAGGGACGTGAGACACCATTGCCCCTAACCTACAGACAAGGGAACGGAGCCTTGGGAAGGTTAAATAACTTGGGCAAGTATCTTAACTTATAATTTCTTCATCTGTAAAATCTAGGACAAGAAAAGTATCTCATGGGGTTGTTGTGAAGGTTATAGGAGATAATGTATTAAAATTAGATACAAATTTAAAAATATCTGGCACATAATAGTTAGTAAAAAATGGCAACTGCCATAATTGTTATTTTTCCCTGTAGTAATCATATTAGCCCATCACAAGCCACCCAGCCAGGGCAGGGTTATTTTGTTTTGTTTTAATTGCAATTAAATGATGGTTTTAGGCCATGGAGTTTGAGGGGAGGTATTATTTTATCCCCTAGCAAGTCGGTACTTAATAATACAGGGTGGGGCAAAAGTAGGTTTGCAGTTGTGAGTACGTGAAACGCAGTTCATTCTTGTCTTATTTATTAATTATTACATTCTTCCATATGAACAACTGTAAACCTACTTTTGCCCCACCCGGTATTTTTGAATTAATCAATGGCCACTCCAGTTTCTTAGGCAGATAGGCCACTCCTGCTTTTCCCAACCTCACTTCTTTTTTCTTTTTTTAAATATATTTTATTGATTTTTTACAGAGAGAAGGGAGAGGGATCAAGAGTTAGAAACATCAATGAGAGAGAAACATCGATCAGCTGCCTCCTGCACACCTCCTACTAGAGATGTGCCCGAAACCAAGGTACATGCCCTTGACTGGAATCGAGCCTGGGACCTTTCAGTCTGCAGGCCAATGCTCTATCCACTGAGCCAAACCGGTTAGGGCAGCAACCTCACTTCTTTAGTCTGAGACTTCATAGCATCCCAGTGACCCAAAGAGTGAACCCTGGTAGCCCAAGTTAAAGCGAACCCTGGACTCAGGGCGGTGCCAGTAAGAGGATTCCAGGCTTGCGCTGAGGAACACCTTTGCCATTCAGTAATCCCAGTTCATACCACATCCTGTTGTTCCTCAAACGCCTTTCTTATAGCCTACCCCGCACACTGCAGCCTGGTGTGCACGGTGCTGTTGGCATTGAGGGGTGGTTGGGTGGCCACACTTGACCGGGGGCCTTGGAAGTGGAGAGTGAGGTTCCCGAAGGCCATCCTGGTGGTGGCAGCAGGGATCCGTGAGAGAAGCTCCAAAGGGGAAGTTGAATCTTGAAGTGAGGTCAGAGCCTGGCGTGCCATCTACCTTCTACCTCTCAAGTGCAGATTCCCTCTTGTAGGAAAGTGACTCTCAGGAGGGGAGGGTGGGGTTTGGGGGTGGGGCTTCACATTTACTTTCCAGTCTGGTGGGGATCCCAGTGTTTCAGAGTTGCGAGTGGGAGGGCACAGCCCAGAGTCAGGAGGTGGGGCAGATCCTCCTCAGACCTCTCTGAGCCCAGCGAGGCCTGACAAGGATCCACAGCTGCAAATGTAGTTACACTTGCTGGGGAGCTGAGGCCGATCCTGCCAGCCCGGGACAGATGGGTTCCAGACTCAGAGCTCAGGTAGGTGATGTGTGTAGGGAGGGCTACTCTCAGATGTACCATACAAAATGCCTGGCAAGGGACAACTGGGCCCCACACCCAGCCACATGGTGCTCCCCAAGCCATGCATATAGGTGCCTAGAGAGTGCATCTTCTTCTCATTAGTACAGATTAAAGCACGGGGAAGCTGGGGTTTGGGTGTCTGAGTGGGGCTAAGCTCTGGCCGGGGAGCTGGGGCCAAGGGCTGGCTCTCCTCCTCGCCATGCTTGAGGTTGTCCTGAGCCAGAGAGTTGCCTGCCTTGTATCTAAAGGTGGGTGCTCTGGACCCCTCTCAAAGAGGCCTTTGTACTTGACAGTGGGACCTCTGGCTTGTGGGTTGGGATAAGTAAAACATTTTTTCTTTGAAGACTCAGAAGTAGGGAGGGTAACACTTGGGTGACATATAGGAAAATGAAATTCATTGAATAGGGCAAAAATGATAGTAGACTAGGGTTATACTGGGCAGCTTGTTAAGAGGCAGCTTGGAGCAGGGCTAAAGTTCTTAGTCCTAATTAGATGCTGACTCTTTCATTTTTAGCCCTCCCTTACCACTCTCCTTCCTTCCTTTCTAACTAAAAAAAAAGAAAAGA